CACAAACGGAAAATAATGAAATCAATATCCTTCATATGATGGGCATCCTATTCTTATGGAAATCTGTTAGTTTAAAAGACACTTTATAAAAAAAAAAAAATCAGAAAAAAAGAGCTAAAACATCACAGGATAAAACATAGCACACTCCTACAGTTTACCTTGCGCAGGTCCGTATGACTTTGCAAACCTCCGACGGACCCTTGAACCAATCCTCTTGAGATAGATCAGGCCTTATTTTTGCTTTAATCCACTGAAAAATCTGTATTTTATTAGTTCTTATACCTGGCTTTGTGAGTCGAACAGTTTCTTTAGAAGACTACTTGGTTCCTTCGTAGCCATAAGGACAAGATTACAGTGAACCATACTATAGTTTAAAAGAAACTTATATGAGGATAACAAAGAGAGAGAGGGTTGAAATCCAAGATAAAGAACTACTGGAACAAAGGAGTAGTAATACAAGATAAAGAAGAGCCCTCTTGAGCTGGATAAGAAATAGGACAAACAAAGATAAAACCATCAAAAGACAACATAAATCCCATAAAAAGGCGGATTGAAAAACAAATCTGGTAGAAGTTTTCTCAAGAAAGAACAGCACGGAGGATTAACAAGGATTACCTGCTTTCCCTTTGGGCAAAAATGCAAATCCTTTGCTTGACTGAAAAAACTACCGAGAGGATGCAGCTGGCTTCTCCTAGAGAATTTCTCAATGCCAAAGTAATGAAGGAAAACAGATGGTGGGAAAAATAAAGGGGGAAGGTGACCGAAACCCTGTAGCAAATTGTCCTTGGAAATGTGGTTCACTGATGGTCGTCACTGACCTTTATCATAACTTTCAGTTTGGTCACTCTCTTTTTAAATTTATAAATGTAATCACTCACCTTCCTTTTAACATGCTCAGTTAATCACCCTCCGTTATATCCCCAAATGCCGTTAAGTAAGACGATGAATTGGCCTGGTCCAAGAAAAAATCGATGACTTTGTGCTTTCACTTTTGTTTAACTGTAATAAAATTATAGTACATATTTGTTATGTACAGTTACACACTAACTATTTAATATTTTGTTAATATTTTTATTTTTATTCCTAGAGTAATAAACAAAGTTGTAGATTGATTAGAGAGATACTTTTGTATGATAGATATCGAGCATAGTTATGCATGTTTATTAAATTGTAAAATATTATCCTTAAAAATATGATTTTGTTTAATTTAACTAATAAAAGTGGCTAATAATTGTAACCATTAACTAATAATTGATGAACAATTAATATTTATTAGTTAACAAATTAAAATCAATAAACAAATTGATATTTTCAAATATTATTTTTAAAAAATCAAAATTTAGTAATCTTAATAATATTAATAATAACAATAACCATACCTATAAATATTTTTATTGAATTTGTAGAAAAATTAAAAGTCTAATAACAAAGATACTATGTATTAACTCTTTGCATTAGTAATAAAACAAAATCAAATGTGTTGCTTCAGGTTTAACCATATACCAATGAGGATTGGCATTAAATCATGTAATTTTTTGATTGGACTATTCAAGTGTTCATACATGTAATTGGCTTTTATTTTTTATCTATTTTTTTAATAAATTAGTTTTGTAATTAAATAAAAGTCATGCTTTATTCATTACAATAAATTTTTTGAAATTATTGAAATATTTTTAATGAAATTATTTTTTATTTTTTTATTTATTAAAATATCTTTAATAAAATTAGTCATGAAATATTTATTTGGCCCACGCCCTCTTGCCACCTCACCTAACGGCATTTGGGGAGATAACGGGAATTGATTAGTTGGGCATGTTAAAACAAAAGTAAGTGACTAAATTTACA